TTTGGTTTTTTTTTTTTTGTTTTGTCTTGGTTTTTGTTTTTTTTTTTTTTTTTTTTTGTTGGTTTGTCTGTTTTCCATAAAACTTCCCGGAAGAAATACAATATTTACACGCAAAATAAATAGAACAACACACCTGATTTCTGCTTTACCTGCTGGCAAACAGTCAGAGGTACTAGGGAAAGTATGGCTTGTAGGGGAGCCCCCCCGCGCCCCCCGCAACGATGACGACGATGATGATGATGATGCCCCCCGCGTGTCCCATGTGTCCCCCCATCCGGCCACCCCGGGCTTTGCATAATCGCCAGGAAGGGGTTGCACAGCGGGGGCTGCCCGTCCCCATCCCCCTCCCCGTGCCCGGGGTGGGCCGGGGGGGTCAGCAGAGGATGGGCACCCCGTCGGCGGTCACCAGCCGGCCCGTGGTGGGGTCGTAGGTGCCTGCCAGGTAGTAGAGGTCCTGCCGGTCCTGGTACTTCTTGCTGCGCGTCATCTGCTCGTAGTGCTCCCGTCCCACCACCTGGCACTTGTGGGAGATGGTCTGCACGTCGTTCTCGTCCTCGTGGCACGACTGGTACAGGGCGTTCTGCAGGGAACGACGACGCGGCGTCACCAGCCGTGCCCCCTCGCCAGCGTGCCAACCCCCTGCCCCCCGGCCCAGCCCTCTCCTTGCCGTCGCTCTGCCGCTTGCCCAGCTTGGTCTCCTCGGGGTGGTAGAACCACTTGACCTTGACCACCATGTTGCTGCCCCAGGACTCCCACATGCTCTCGATGCGCCCGATGTAGGGCAGGTTGGGCCGCCCGGCCGAGAGGAAGACGGCGCAGTCCCCGATGCGCAGCGTCTCCTTGCCCCGCACGATGGCCTTGTAGAACAGCTTGCGCGCCTTGCCCTCCCTGCCCCGCCGCTGTGGGGGCGAGAGCGGGGGTCAGGGGCAGCGCACAGACCCCCCTCCGGCCCCCGGGCAAAGCAGCACCGGGGTGGGATGCTCCCACAGCACCCATCCAGCCCTGCACACCCAAGTGCCCCAGCTGCTGGAACCGGCACCCTGTGCTGTGCACCCAGGCACCGTGCCTGGTGAACCCGTGCCCGCAAACCCTGTGCACCCGGGGGCTGTGGCTGGTGTACCCATGCACCATGCCCCCTGCCCCACGCACCCATGCCCCCACACCCATGCACCCTGCCCCATGCACCCACACCCATGCCCCATGCACCCTGCCCCGTGCACCCATGCCCCCACACCCATGCACAATGCCCTCTGCCCCCTGCAC